AGATTTTTATTACAATATGATATCAGTTTTAATAGGTTTGTGTAAGTTTCCTAGAGTCAAACCAAGCATATTTTTCAGATGAACTTATTTTGATTAAGTTTTGGTCAGTTGCAATTTTATCCTAAAACTTATTGCATTGTAAATTACAGTTTTGTTTTATAATTAGCATTGCTTTCACAGCTTCAATATTTAATTTTGACTTATCTTTTGACTACAGAATTCATGAGAATTTACCAAATTCACATGGATTCACTAAAAAAAATTGAACAAGCATTATATGCAATATAAATGCTAAGACAAGTATACTTAGAATGAAATTGATGTTTAAATTTATAAACAGCTTATCAAATGTTTTGATAATTACATAAAAATTTTATTGCAGCTAAAATTTGTTAAGAATATGTATTTAAAAACTCTTATTGTGTTGTATATAACTAATGTAAACAACTCAAATTTCTTAAATCTGCTCAGTGCACTCCAATAAAGCAGATTTTTGTTGATAGCTTATTTCATATTTTCTTTTTCTGCCCTGTGGGCATTAAGAAGTCCTTTTGAATTATATCTATTATGGGTCCAAAGGTATGATTAAATATCACTGAACTCATAATGGCCCACAAAGGGTGCAGTCTGGCAGTGAGGAACAGGGCTCAACATATCAGGACAGACCATCTGTGAAAAATTCTTGGGGACTGAATCCAAAAATTCTTGTTTGGATTCAGTCCCATATCTACAGGTCATTGTAGCCGTCTATTATTTTATTTGATTGCATTTTGTAAGATTTCTTTTTAATACAGTTTTTTAGAATCAGCATTTTGACTTTTAATGCCTTTCAGTCATGATTTTCGTAAACAAGATTTTCATATTTCTAGCATTATATTGAATTTATGAAAATTAAATGGGATTATTTTATTATTTCTGCATTTCATTCTGATTTGGTCTCTCTCAATTGTATGATAATAAGCTAAAAAAAATTTAAAACAACCAAACAGTTCTAAAAGTAAAAATCTGCATTATATTGCATAAAATATAAAATCTATAAAATAATTTAAACTAAATGAATACTGTAAAATTCCAATTTAAATTTAACCATTGCTTTTAATTATTATTAAAAAAAACATTTAATTTCTAATTATTAATTATAACATAATATTGCCCAATTAATTTGGCTGGTGATTGGATGATTATTATACATTGGATTGTTGAGATGTTTATATATATATATATACTAAATTAAATTAAACAGAAAAAAATCTAATATACTAAATTAAATTAAACAGAAAAAAATTTCTGCTGATTTTAAAATGAAATTATGATGTTTGCTTCATTAAGGTAATTTTGGAAGATAAAACAAATTAGTTCAAATTAATTTTTTAATTTGAACAATAAAATGTTTTTATTTTTAAACAAATGAGACAAACTTTTTTAAATAAAATAATTAGGCTTTTATTAAATCATAAAATTTACTATTTCAGAATTAATTCTTATATTTGTTTGTTTTTGATAGAATGAATATTTAGCAATATTTGACATTTTATTTTTATCCTGATGACTCATTGATAAAATACAACTTATGTATGATATAAGTGAATAAAAATATATTACTCATAATATTATTCATCTGTCTTTATTTTTCTCCTTTTTTTTGTTAATATATAAATTCCAATAAAAATAAAGATTTTTATATTCAGATTCATAATAAAGAACATTGAGAATAAGAAATATTTTATATACAGTGGTGCCTCGTACAACGTACTTAATCCGTTCCAGGTGCACGTCCGTTATACGAAACGCATTTTCCCATAGAAATACATGTTAAAACATATAATTCGTTCCGCAGCATAAAATAACCGTACTGTACCATAAAAAATGAAAATGGAGCAGACACCAATTATGCCGGGTAGTCAGATGTTGTGAGGAGGAGGTGGAAGAACACTTTCTTTACACATTCATACAGATACAGACTTTTTACACATTGCAGCGGGTCTTTTTTTATTGTTTTTTAATCGGAGTCAGATTCAGGAGAGGCTACCGGAACTTGCAGGGTCAACTTCTCTTGTTCCATCCTTTGTTTTTTGCCCGCTGGCTTCTTGAAAAACATGACCAAGGTGGTCTGTTTCTCTTTCTTCTTTAACACCTGTCGGAAATGACGGACAAAGGTGTCATCGTAGAGATCATTGATCCTGTTGGCCTCAGCTCTGTTTGGATAATGAGTGTTGGTAAACTCCTGAACCTCTCCCCATTCGACAAGAAAGTTTTTGTCAACTTTCACTCCTGATGATTTCTTGCTTTGTTTCAATTGAAATCACCTTTCTGTTTTTTTAGAAGCCATGATGCATTATAAATGACTTAACTTGCCAGATTATATGATACGAATAATTCTTTATTAATTAAGATCACTAAACACTTCTACGAGCTACTCTCGCTCCGTTTGTTTTTTACAACCTCTTTTCGTCCCGCCACCTCGGCATCTACACAATTACATTTCGTTTATTTGAATCGTCAACATATATTACATTACATTTAATGTTTATTTAAATCATCAACATATATTACATTACATTTCTACTTCAGATATACTAATAATACATTCTAATAATACTAATATATCCTAAAAATAGCAGATTGTCATTGGCAACGGCAAAAGAGTGGAAACATCATTCGCACTTGTTCGAAGAAAGTCCATTGTTCGTCTCACGTAACTGCCGAACGGAAAGTACGTTGTTCGCAGCAAGTCCGTTGCTCGAGTCACGTAACGGTCAAACAGAAAGTCCGTTATTCGCAGCGTCCGTTATTCGAGGTGTACGTTATACGAGGCACCACTGTATTAATAACATTTAGTGTTATGATTTATGCATTTTTATAATTTGATGAGAATTATATCTTGATATTAAATTGAATCGCAAAATGACATAATAGGGCTCATGTATCATTAAACATTAAATTTTTTTGCTCAGTATAATATAAGAGTAATAATTGCCATGATTTAATAAAATTTACCAAAATAAAATTTTCATTGAAATATATTTGCAAACAACTACATAATGGTAAATAGTACTATTAACAACTTAATGGTTACAAGATTCAAATACTTTTTATTGTTTCCTTACTCTCCTCTATGGGGGTCCTGTCTATGTACACTATGTAATTCTTAATTTTCTTTCATATACTTTCATTTAAATAAAATTTTTGATAAATGCTGCCAACTCAACAGATTTTTATTTATTAAATGAAGTAGGATGGTTTAAAAATTTGTTGCAAGTTTCCTAAATGATGTATCATAAGACCACCAGAAAAATATCCCAATTTATACTATATACACAATTGAAACCGATATATTAAGCAAATATACACCCACAACTGCCATAAAACATTTACGGCATGTGGGTGTATATTTATTTATCCATATGTTTACTCAACAATTCTGCTTGCATGGAAATAATTGTTGCATCTGGTGGTTCAGACTGTGATATCTGCTAGATGTTTCACCCATTTTTGCAGAATACAAATAACAATACAAATTTTTGATCTTGAACCAGTGTCAAATGTTGAAAGCAAATAATTATACCTCAACATAATTACATTATTATTGATAATTTTGGAATCCCAACAGTTAGAGATCTAACACAAAATAACACAAAATTATTGCTTAGATTTTGAGTTTACATATTTATCATGTTTTCTTTAATCTCATCTCTCAATTTTTTATTCCAAATTTTCATAATTTGAGTTAATCATGGTCCTGTCCACTTGAATTATCAGGACTCCAGTGTACATGTTTTGCTAGAAATGATTGTCATTATTTGTATTATTTTAAAATATTACCATTTATCACTTAATAATACTCTTAATCTAAAAGTTGATTACAGTTTAATTGCTTAACACTCATGTAGCTTTATTTTGAATGCTTGCATTTTAATAACAGATAAATGAAAATATATCCAACATACTATGAAGATATCTGTTATTATTACAGATAGAATTTAATTTCAAAAATGGGTTTTGTTGCAACACATTCCAGCTCGGCTCAGCTCTGGTCCAAATTCACAGCTTACTTGTTAGTTCATAGCTCACTTGTCAAGATCTCAGCTCAGCTTGATATTTCTAAATAGCTGAGTTTTGCCAAACTCTAGTTAATAATGTACACATGCAAGATCAAATTCCATCTTGTGAGGTTCTGCACCTGTCCGTCAATGCACCTTATCCAATATATTAGTGTTGTCCAGTCAGCAAATCAAGGGTGTCAAAAGTCTCCTACCTTTATGAGGTCATGAGGGATGTCCTATACATCCCTCATGTATCAAGCATTTAGGGGATAGCGGGGCATGAAGCTCATGTGGGATGTCTTACAAAATAGGACCTATGGTTTTGTTACTATACTGTTGAGTAGTCTTATAAGTAAAGTAAACAGGACTATAATTGTGGAAATTATGGCTTTACTAATTGATATTAAAAGCATATATTAAAATAATTAATAACTCTAAGTTATACATTTTTAGTTTTAATTATTATTATTAATGATCAATAATAGTAATTCATCCCATGTCATTTCTCTGTCAATTTATCTAATACTGTTGGTAACAAAAATTAACATAAAATTAAAATAAGAAATGTCAAAATTTAAAATACTGTACTAACAAATAATAATCATCAGTTAATGAGTGAGTAAGTAAATAATGATTAACACAGTTAATGTGTAAAGATTGGTTTAAGACTGATAATGATTGATAACAATAGCTATGATTACAATAAGTATGTTCTACTATATTATAAAGCAATGTTAAATGTTATTAAGAACAAACATTGTGTCATTGTTGAGAAGGAATTAATACAGTATGTACTCTTTAGAATATATATAGTATTTAAACTCAATAAATGAAATTATTGATTTTGAATCTTTAACAAATTTTAATCATTTTTAAATTATTATCAAATAGTTTTAGTATAATATGTTATTATTTATTATAATTTAGTTTTATATACAATTTATTATTATTCAGTAGCTGGTTTTATGGGATACAGTTGGAACTGAAAGATTTCGGACCTTAACCAGAAATTATTTTCGGAATTCACATGTATGTCTTTTAATATATAGTGTAAGTGATCCAGATTCTTTACTTGGTTTGGCACAATGGCTTCAAGATGCTAATAATTATGCAGAGTCAGGTAAGTTTTTTTTTAATTTTTACTATTAGGAAATATCATTATTTGAATTTCAGTAAACTTTAATAAATGTAATTATTGTACTAGAAAAAAGTAAGATTTCAAAATTCATAAATTTGAATAGTAAGTTTAAATTATTTGTTCTTGTAAAGAAAAGAAATTATTGTTAAAATAAAATATATTTGTGATTGCTTTATAAACAGTTTACAATTTTCTTCGGTTACAATAAAATAGAACATGAATACAAAAATTTAAAAATAAACGATAACAAGAATTCTAAAATAAATAAATAAATAACAGAAATCATAGTTGAGATTAATAAATAAATAACTACAGAAATAAAATAAAGAATGAAAAGTAAAAATAGATGAATAAATGTCCCTTAATTAATAAAATTAAATTTCATAAAAGGACTGCCATGTGGTATACAAGCTGTTTGTGTTTCTATGGTTGATGCAACCGGATTTTTTGTGCGCTTTAAAAATTTCCAGTTTTTCCAGATATCTCATAGTGTGTTTGTTAGATGTGGGTCTGATGATGGTTGCCTGCTCCCATTGTACTTGTATGTCCTGATGTTGTGAGTAAGCTGACAACATCATATTATCAAGATTTTTATCGATTGTGTATTTATGTTCTTTGAGACATTGTAAATTACGTATAGTGGCACCCACATAAACCAGTTTTGATTGAAATGTTGGTCAATTAACAGTATGGAGTAAATCCCTGCAGTCGAATCATGGTTATATGGTTTCTTATCATTCCTTAAAATTCTGAATATCATTGGGTGGCATTGATATACAACCTTGACATTATTAACTCTGGCCGCTTTCTTATGCATCCTTCTTAAAGATGGGATATAATTTAAAACCACTCTTCATTTCTAGTCTACAGACATATGCTGACATTCTGATGTTTGAAAGGTTGTGATCAACTTCTGAATCATTTCTATCAGATAACCCTGTTGTTCTGTGATCTTTAAAATGTAATTCAGCTCCATTATATGCTGGTACAATGTGTATATGCCCTTCTTATCAAGGATCTAAAGGCTGCAAATTTGATGTGCAGAGGATTAACAGAGTTATGTGGAATTAAAATAGGTTGAAAACATGGTTTCCTGTATACCTTGGTCCAAATTTTGCCATATTTGCAAGAGATGGAAATGTCCAAAAAGTTTACTGTTCTTTCACTCTCCTGATGTAATTGTAGATGTAATCCATAGGGGTTATCATTGATCACTTTTAAAAAATGCTGCAGGTTTGGTTTTCTCCGCCACAAGATGAAGACATTGTCAACGTATCTAGCATATAAGATAATGAGATGTTGGAATTTGGGTAGAATGTTGTTTTTTAATTGTTGCACTACTAGTTCACAAAGTATTGCTGACGTGGGCATTAAAGCTAAAGCATTTATTCGTCTATTTTTACTTTTTATTGTTTATTTTATTTTTGTAGTTATTTATTTATTAATCTCAACTATGATTTGTTATTTATTTATTTTAGAATTCTTGTTATTGTTTATTTTTATATTTATTTTCTATTTTATCATAACTGAAGATCAGTTAAACTGATCGAAAACACTATTATTTAGTAAATTTCATTGCTGGATTTTTTAAAGGTGTGTTTTTTTGTTGTAATCTTAAAAAATTATACCAAATCACTAAATTCATTAAAAATTTTAATTTATAAGAACTATCGCACAATAATAGAAATAGACTGTTTTATGGAACGTTTCAACAGATATAGAAGTGGAATTTAATAAAGAAACATTTTATAACTAAATTGTTATTTCTTATTATTATGATATACAAATTTTTATAAAATGAACTTGTCATACATTTAAATATTTTTCTTATATGATTTTATTTTTACGACAGCATTAAAAGTACTTGTAGGGAACAAATGTGACTTACCTTCTTCTGTTGATGAACAAAAATTAACAGAATTTGCCCACTATCATAACTGTGATATTGTCTTTCAAGTTTCAGCAAAAACAGGTAAATATGTCCAAATTGAGAGTTAAATTTTTAATGAAAATTTAAATTATATTATATATGATAATACTTATATCCAGTAAAAATAGATTTATGAATGCAAACTATAAAAATATAAACTAATTTTATAATAATGTACTTATTATTAGGTTCTTATTCTTATTATATTTTTGATATTCTAATTAAACAAAGCCAAGTACAGGTAACCCCCGTATAACACGGTAGTTACGTTCCAAAAAATTGCCGTGTTATGCGAATCCGTGTTATACGAAACAAAGAACTAATACGAAAAGGAGGGTTAGGTTCCAAAAATTAAAAAACATGCTAGTATATTTTCATAATTAAGATAAATATCTTCATTAAAATTTTTTTAAGTGATACATATTAATATAAATTAAACAATGTTTTCTTCGTCATCACTAAAAACACTATTAATTAACCGAGAGCGTTTTCTTTTTGGCAAGTTATCCTTATCCTCTGAGCATTTTTCTGCATTATCTTCAGATCCATGCTTTACCTTTTGCAAAATGTATGTAATTTTAGATTGCTTGCTTCTAGTTAAAAGGTCTTTATAAATTTCCTTATATGGTGCTAAGCACTTATGAAGAATAAAGCAAGTATGGAATAAGGGAAAAACATTCGGCAACATCAGAAGCAGAAGCGTCGCGATCTGGCAACATTGAAACAAGTTTCGAGAAGGACCACGTGTATCGACAGAAGGCGAGAAGAGAAAATTTACATACTTAAGTACTAATAGTTCACGAAAATAATAATTTTCGTGAACTATTATTACTTAAGTATGTAAAAATTTATTACATTTCCTGTTGTACGAGGGTTTTACCCAATTCTCGAACCGTGTCAGAGTGAATCCGTGCTATAAAAGTACCGTGTTATACGGGGGATGGTACCAATTCTCGAACCGTGTTAGAGCGAATCCGTGCTATAGAAGTGCCGTGTTATACGGGGGTTACCTGTAACTCAAACTATATTACTTGAGTCTTTCATACGGAACATAAATTCATTCCTTGATAGTTGCCACATTTTCCTTCAAATGCTTGTCTCTCTCTATGTTCTATTCAGTCTTTTATGAATGAATAAAGAAAGCCAGAATTTATGAAAGTAATACTGTTTTTTCATAGTGTATTATACACAACCTTTAGGGCTTGTAGCAATTACTTCAAACTGTTTTTGTACAATCTATATATAACAAATGATTTTTCTTTTACTTTTTGTATTTCTATTTATTAAATAAACTTGTTCTTCAATTACTAATGGAAAATACACATAGTAAACTTTTGATAATGATTTATTAAATATTGCTTTAAAGTGTTATTAGATTACTTATGATACAGATGATAATTCTGGTTTGCTATATATTTAATTCTATAATATTGTTTTTTTTTTTTTATGATATATTTAAATTACTTTAAACCATCATACAAATTTCATTGCATTACATACATTTGCATTTTTAATGATACTGTTAATTATAAAGTCTTCATTAATGATTGTGATGATTAAGTTTTTGTTTTTGTGTATTTAGCATATTTATTTCATCTTTACTCTACAAGTACTTAATATTTGTAGTTGTAATTCTTTTGAACATGTTTCTAAAGTACGAGGGCTGTTCGGAAAGTTCGCGGCCTTGCCTATATGCGGCGCTGCAATCAATTTAATTTTTGGCGGGAATAATTCAGCTATCTGTGCTAGAGATACGATACCAATTTCCGCTTGATTTGTCAAAAAGTTTTGCCACGACAGCTTAGCAGATAGTCAGTGTGCACATACTTTGTCAAAAATGGAGAAGACGGAGACTCATGCGGTCATAAAATACCTGACGAAAAAAGGGTTGACCCCATCTCAAATCAAAGCTGACATGGATGAAGTTTTGGGAGAGTCTGCTCCTTCGTACACCACTGTGAAAAAATGGACAGCCCTTTTTAAATCTGGCAGAGAGAGTGTGGAAGATGACCCTCGCAGTGGACGGCCGTCAACTGCTGTCACTGAAGAAAATATCGACAAAGTTCACGATTTGTTATTAGCAGATCGCCGTTTGAAAACGCTTGAGATAGCTGAGACAACAGGCATCTCTGTCGACCGAGTGCACCACGTCCTAACCGAAAATTTGGGTATGACGAAGGTCTCAGCAAGTTGGGTGCCGCATCTGCTGACCGCTGAGCAAAGACGTGTTCGCACTTTGATGTCAAAGAAGTGTTTGGACTTCTACCAGAAAAACCCACAGGATTTCTTGCGTCGGTTTGTGACTACTGACGAAACGTGGATCCATTACTACACTCCTGAAACAAAAGAACAGTCGAAGCAATGGAAACACCACAGTTCGCCACCACCAAAGAAGGCAAAGACAGTTCCATCAGCGGGGAAAGTGATGGCCTCGGTTTTTTGGGATGCTAAAGGCATCATCTTTATTGACTACCTAGAAAGAGGAAAGACCATTAATGCTGTCTATTACTGTGAACTTTTGGAAAAACTGAAGAAAGAAATCGAAGAAAAGAGGCCACACTTGAAGAAGAAAAAAGTTCTGTTCCACCACGATAATGCACCTGCACATTCCGCCAGAATCACTGAACAAAAGATAAACGAACTTCGCTTCCAATTAGTTCCACATCCACCGTACTCACCTGATTTGGCCCCCAGTGACTTCCACCTTTTTCCAAACCTAAAAAAATTCTTGGCTGGAAAGAGATTCCACTCAAATGACGAAGTCATCTCTGAAGTGAATGAGTATTTTGTACACCTTGACAAATCGACCTATTGTGATGGCATAAAAAAGCTAGAACATCGCTGGAATAAGTGCATTGCTAACAAAGGAGCCTTCATTAAAAAATAAAAAAGTTTTAACATTATTTTGTTTGTTGTTCTATTTGAGGCCGCGAACTTTCCGAACAGCCCTCGTATATTGAAGTTTTTCTTACTTTTATAGTGATTTATCAACTAGATTTATACTGACTGTGACTACAGTAATTTGGATAAGACATCTTTCATTTCTATTAAAACAACCTTTTAAAATTAGTGTTAAAATATTTATTCTTTATATGTTTGGCTTCTATTTGATAGCTAACAAGATTTTCAAACATAGTTTACAGTTTATCATTTCTATCTAAATTTTGTAATATCTTTTCAAAAAATTAGATATGAAAAATTTTTATTTTGAAACAATTCTGTTGTAAAAATAAAGTATAATGAAATTTTTTTGAGTTGTAAGAATTCATTTTTATCAATCAATTTATAAAAATTTTCATCTTTTTATAATAGACACTAAGAGAATTTCTAAAAACTATTCTTATGGCAGCAGCATTTGTTATGAACAAATAAGTTTGTGTTTGATAATATAGAAAGTTCAGCAGCATTTTTAAGTTGTTAAATTTTCTGTTAATAAATCCATTGTAATGAAGATATAAGAAATCCTTGTTAGTTCAAAACTCAAGGGACAAAATAATCACAGCTACAAATTATCGAGTTTTGAATTATCCAAGATTTACATATTTCTGTACAATATGACAAATGCTAAGTAACTGATGTAATTTATTAAGCAAATGGAATATGGCTATGTATACAGAATGCTATTTTTGTTAATTGATAATTAGTTTCTTATTCTTATTATTATATTTTTGATATTTTAATTAAATTATGAATCATATTTGCAAGTTACCAGATAGGTTTTCTAGCACTTGAAATGTAACCTAAATTATTTTTTAAAGTGGCCTAAAAAGTAGTAAGTTGCCCAAATGTAGGAACCTAGAACTCTACAAATATCTCAATCTGCTACTTGCAGCCCAATTTTTCAATCTCAAAAACCAGCCATATTTTTTGAGATAAGAGAAAAAACGGTAGTCCAAGGGTAATGTGACACCTAAAAATGTGTTACTGTAAAAGCAAAGCCATATTGAGCAGATTAGAGTTCTTCTTGGTATACTGTTCTCTTATAGCATGGAGACACTTCAATCTAAACATACAAGTTAACATATGCATATTACAGTTCAGACAGAATTTTCCTTTCATATTTCAAAGTAGCCATATTTTGAACTATTCAAATTCCTTAACATGTAAATCTCTATATCCCCAGCCACAACAAAAGTATAATTATGAACTAATGGGTTTTCTAACTTTTTTTTTTATTTAGGTACTGGTACATTTGTACATACTTGGCCCGCTTATAGCATTACTAAGTTCTGGGGTTTTCGAACTATCCGAATTCAAATGAATGAGAATTTCCTGTAGTATTTTTGTGTTTTTTTTTGTTAATGACATTTGTTTATATTTTTAAAATGCCATTGCTGTAAGAACAGCATTTGAAGATTCTCAAAGCATTTGCTTCAGAATATAATGGTTTGAATTAGTTATTAAATATTAGCTACAAGGTTGAATTCTTTCAGTTTAAACATTTTGAATGTACATTATTTTTATGATAGAATTATGTTGAATAAAATATATTTCGTTTATTTTAATTTTTTTGTTTTGAAGATTAATGTATTACAAACTTATTGGTTTGTTTCATCCAAGAATTTGGTCATAATCAATATTCTTTAATTAATTAATTTAATATTTTTTAATCTTGTCCCTCTGCAATACAGTAGACCCCCTATAACGCTTAGATATGTTCCACGTTAATCGAATTTTACGTTGTAGGAATGATTAAATACATGAGCCAATCGCAGCTCGATAGGTGTGAAGTTTATGGACTAAGACTGTTTGAAAGGTTTTCTTCTATAAAATTAACCGATTCTAGACTAATTTGACTCAACATTTCCAAAACATGTATAATTTTTTGGGAATAATCTGTATAAACTATGCTATAAACAAAAAATTATAGGATTACTTACCGAGTGTGCACCATTCAACTATGCCATTGCTCAAAGCTTGTTTTCGTCGCGGAACAGCACACGAAACGGTGGCCGCGATTTCTGATAACGAATTTTTCGCAGAAAAATAACTTGACCTTTGGAGACATCATTAATATAAATAATTTTTATGGCCGTTGAATAAGAAGTGTTTCTTTCACAAGAAATGTATAAAATTAGTGCTGTATTAGACTTACGGTACCTAATTTACATACTGTACAGATGATAATAAACTGAACTTACTAGCCTAAAATCTCCGTAGCGTGTTGCCAGGTGGCAGAAAGTATATATATAATTATAATAAAGTTACAATAAATTAAGTTAATATATAATTATATATATAGTACCTAATTTATATATAATTAATATATAATTATATGTACAGTACCTAATTTATATATAATACTGTACAGACGATAACAAACTCAATTTAGCCACTCCGTAGCGTGGAGCAGGGCGGAGGAAAGTAGTTCGGCTGCTCATCCACTATTGGTCCAGATTCTATCAATCTTGTTATCAGTCTATGAATGTTGCTACAATTTTTTCGCTACGTTATAGGAATTTCTGTTATAGGAACGCACGTTATAGGGGGGTCGACTGTATAATTTTTATTATTTTCTATTTTCTGCTAAAATAATTAGTCAATTCATTCTGGTTTCATCATTTTATTTCTTGAAATAATTTTTATCTTGTTCATTTTTAACATTCTAGTAGTCATTTGCTTCTTCCATATTTATGCTCTCTGGTTAAAACTGTTTCTCCATCTACACTACTTTTTAATCTTGTGGATTCAGTTTTATCATATCAATTTCCTGAAGTTTCTGTACAAAAATTATTTCAGTTTTTTACCCTTTTTTTAAAAATAGCACCCCCAACTTGATAATTTTTTTTTTCTTGCAGTACTCCTACTTCCTTATTAGAGTTACTGTGCTTTTAGTACTTTTAGTAATACGCATAAGAAATCTTATGGTGCTTCTCAACATTATTTTGTGGTGCTAGCACCCACTAGTGGCCTAGAGGTTAAAACAACACAAATAGTTGGTTGTGGATTTGTGTTTCAACAGGCTGGCTGCATGAAGTTTTCTGGATTTTCTTTACATTTGTAACACTTAAATAGAGACCAGTTTCCTATAGAAAACCCTCCTGGATGACTTCTCCTTGGCAAATCACCCAGTTTTTCTTTGCATTCTTCCATCTGTCCATTTCATGATATTGTAGAATTTGTTCCTCTGAAATGTCATTGTGGCACCTGTTTAAATAAATAAATAAAAAATTTTGGAGTCTTGCTTGTTTGTCTTTGTCAGTCCATTCATCTCGTTAAGTTTGTCATTGTGTTTGTTTGCTTTTCACGCTGTCTGTCTAGCTGTTAAGTAGTAGTAAGATTTGCAATCGCATTCAGTTTTATTAGTATTAAGTAGATATAAGTCTTCCTACTAACAGCCACTTGGCACTAACTTCTATACTTAGCTATTTGTGGAGGCACTCAATTATTGGTGTTCGCTACACTCAGGTTTTCTTTTAGATCCTTTAGAGGACTACAGTCTTGCAGCCTAAAAACTGTACGCCAACATCATACATAGAGGGCACTGTAACCTTATGTATGTCATTTAGAGGGATCCTATTTTTTTCTGCTGTCTATCTTCTCTCTCTCCTCCTTCCCCCTTTCCCTTACCCTCTTTTCTGCTGTCTAAACACTTCATGTACTGCCAATGTCGTTCTTGTATGTATGTATGTATGTATGTATGTAGCACCTGTTTGAAAACTGCTGAATTAATCCATTCTTTTATAGTTGATTTCATTAATATCACTAATTTTTATAGAAATTGATAGGCACCTGTAAAAAGTTTATTCTATCATCTTTTTAAATGAGATTTTGTGTATACAGTTAAACCTCAGGTTTTGAACACCTCACTTTTTGAGCAATTCGGTTCATGAATAAAATTTTGAACCCATTTTTGCTCCGGTTGCTGTACAATAACTCAGTTGCTGAACAAGCTACTCAGCAGAGCCATCCACAGACAGTTAACTCTCTATACTTCTTGTGTTAAAGAGAGTCGACGGCCTGAGCAATCAATGACAGGAATACCGATTCAGAAGTTAGTGCCACCAAGATCACCTTGCATCACGTAACGAATTATTGATGATAATGCTATTTAAATTACATTTCAATGTGTATACAGGAAAGATACTATTTCTGTTTTTCAGTACATGCCACAGTTGAATTTAAATCAAATTAATTAATAAAAATTGCATTAATTGACATTCACATAATATAAATGGTATTCAAGAATTTGTTTAAAATATGCTTCAGTTAAAATAAATGACAAATATTTATTAATACAATTAATACATAGGTAACCAGTTATTTAAACTAAAACAAATAATTAAATTTAAAAATAATAAAATAATAATTAAAACTGGCCTTTATACCAAAACTAAAAATAAAATTAATTAATAAATTAAAATTGAAATCAAATCAATTGAAACACAATCCTTTGGAATCTGTAGATAAAGTATTTATTGTTAGTCTTGATTGATTTGGTTATATTTCATGCAGACAGTCAGAATTGAGTCTCTATTTAAAGCACTTTTTTGTAAAATGTTAGGTTTGTTTCAGTTGGCAATGACAGAACATTTTGCTTTTAATACATATGTAGATAATATCTATAGTATAGATAATAAAGATATTATATATATCATTTTTTTATCTGTATTATATTGCCTTTATGGGCATTTTTATGCATGAAATACAGCTAAAAAGGTAGGGGGAAAAAAAGGTTTTGCTTTTGGGGTCAGGAATGGATTAATCCATTTTACATTGTTTCTTATGGGAAAATTTCAGTTTTAGAACAACTTTTATGAATGAATTAAGTTCAAAACCCAAGGTATGACTGTATATCAATATTCTTTCATAGTCTAAAAACATGAAACTTAAACTTTGTTTATATTGGAATTCTAAGAAAAGAATGTAGTTATTTCTCTATATGAATTTCATTATTGTTTAAATTAGTCTAGAAGTATATTATGACATAATAAATTCAGGTAACTTTTAATAAGTCAGAAGTTGTAGTAAATGTATTTAAAATAAAAATAAACATATATATTTATTTTTTCTAAAATTACTATTAATATAAAATTCTTATATAGAATATGTAACTTTCATTTATTTTCATTTAACTTTAAAAAACCAAATTTTAACAACAATAAATGGCAAAATATATTCCTTACGTATACATTACATCTTTCTTAAAGATATGCACACAAACATAAACAAATTAGTATTAGACAGTGTAAAATAATAATTTTGAATCATATTATTAAAATATATTTTATTCATGAATGGTTACATTATAAATAATTTGTAGATTCATTATTATGTATTTTAAGTTTGGCAATTAGTATGGTGAAAACATGCTTATAATTAAATAATAATTTTATTTCTAGGAGAAGGAATCCATGAACTATTTCATATTATTTCACAAAAGTTATTAGAAAAAGAAAATAAAAGGCACATAAATCAACGTTTGTTTGATAACTCTGGAGATGATGACATATATAGTTTGAATGAAAAAGGAGGAGTATCTGCTTTCACTTGTTGTTCTAATTAATAAATTAATTAATTATAAACTTAATAAATACTTTGAATCTTTATAAAATTTTTTCTAATTAAAATAACCTTATTTATAAAGGTATTAATTAAATTTATATAGTATAATTTTGTTAAATACATTTAGTTTATTTAAATTATAAAAAAAAATATATAATATAGTAATATAGGAAAATATGCATTGTTTATTTTATTTCTAAAAACAAACAGCATTTTATTGTTAGGTCATACTATATAAAACTGAAATTTTATATTAGATAATATTTTATAAATTAGAAAATTATTTCTGAACATTTACATAGAAAAATTGGAAGGAAAGCAGTTTAGAACATATTTCTAAGATAAATTTTCCTTGTTTCAATTCATTTAAAAAATTATCTTTAAATTGAATTTTTTCTTTCACTTCCAATTTATAAAGCATTTTATTGATTGCATTTGTGTTCACCTTTTAAAATTTTATTTAAATTCTTAAACTAAGAATTAAGTGAAATGAATATATTTTCTTAATAGTTATTAATGCACATTGTTTTTATATTTTATTTTTACTATTATTAACTTTAAATTAATTCTTTAAACAAAATAAATTTTTTAGATAATTTATTTATATTATAATAAAAAATAAAAAATTTGTTATATACTTATTCATTTAAAAAAATGCAGAATTAAAAACTGTGATTTCATCTAACATTCAAATACATATCATTCTATCAATTATTTTGTTTATAAAAATATTTTAATATAAACAACAAAAATTATAATTTATTTTTATATATTAATTTACAATCACTTTTGTTGCTTAAACTTTTGTCTTGAAATTGATTATCAAATAACAATTAACAATGATATTTTAAAATTCATTAAATCTCTCAAATTAATACAAATTCAAAATCAATTTGTATCTCTTAAAAATTCTAAATTATGATTCTTATTAAAGTATACAGGGTATTATAAAAAAAGCATTCAGCATTTACACGAGAGGTAGTACACCATACTAAGTAAAAAAAGTCTTAGTAAATCTTAGTAAACAAAAATCTTGGCCAATGTACAAAATTGTTAATGTATGAAATATTAACAATTTTGTATATTGGCTTCTACATTTTACATGCAACATGAAAAGAGATCTTGCCAAAATTCTTATTTTAATATTTACAAGCATTCCACATGTTCTCTTTACACTTCCATGTATTCTTGTTGTCATCTTACAGAGTTGTGAACTCCAAAAATTTCAGGTCTTTGCCAGATTATTTATCTTAGAAATGGTTGATTTTAAGCTATATGTACTAAGAATTTTTACTCAAAATGATGTGTACTATCTACCTTATAAATGCTGAATGCTTTTTAATACCCTGTGTAAAGTACAGATTAAGAAATTTTCCTACTGTTGCTTGAATGCAAATTTTATATAAATATTTCTAGGGATTTATATCATTACTAAAAAACTTGTTAAATTAAGCATTTGATTTGATAATGATATTGTTTTTTATATTACTAAAAAGAGGATTATTTTAATTAATTAGTATTATTTGCTATAAGTAATTTTGATGCTTAGTCGAATTTAACTATAATGAAAGATTTATATATATAAATAATCTGTTATTATTCTTAGAATATTGGCTTATGTTTAGATGATGGTTATTTTTATATATTTAAAAATAAATAAAATAAAATTTTCTATAAAATACATAGATTAAAACAGGGATTTCAAACTCAAATGTAGCAAAGAACCAGTCAAATACATGTTTATCAGATGCAAGTCAATATTACTCAGTAAACCAAAATATACTGTAATTTAAAAAAAAAACTCTAACAAAGGTTTTTTTGTTGCCAGGCCTTTACGACTTATGTCAACAGTTAGACATTTGAATTTTTCTGTTTTAATCCATGCAAAATGTTAGAAACATTGAGTTTTAGAAGAGAAATCATTGAGGCCACAGGCCAAATACGAAACCTTAACAGACTATCCAACCCACAGGCTGCCAGTTTGCAACTCTTGGATAAAAAGTTATATAAGAATCAAAATTTGCATGTAATTTCATTTGATATTTTTTATATAACATAAACAGAGAGTAAATCTCTGAAAAAATTAATAATGAATAAAATCAATACAGTAAAGTCCTGCAAACTCAATGTAATGTGGACTGAGAAGTTGACAAGTTACCAAGAATAATAAGTTTTACAGATAGTGATAATACTAGTCTAAACAGCAGAATTTTTGTAAAGATATTATATGTACAAATTCATATATGTATTAACTACATAACCAATAATGACAATTTCTATTTGTAGATAAATTTTAATTTTAAAAATATATTGGCTATTCAGTGGCTACTTTTGAATAAGTGACATTTGTGCCCTGGCATTTTGCAGTGGCACCTTGGAAATAGGGTTATATTCTTTGTTAATATGTGGAATTGATGCTATTATTAAATGTTACCAGTGAAGAACAACTTAAAAAGTATATGCAGTAATTATTTTAGTCAGAATTTTGAGAATAAACCATAATTGTATATAAATTATATATTATCATCATATTTATGAAGTATTATTTTTAGTTATTTTATTAAATAATATATACTTCAAAATCTAGTATTATTTAATACATATATACAAAAATCTTCACAAATACAGTCGACCCCCCTATAACGTACGTTCCTATAACGACAATTCCTATAACGTAGCGAAAAAATTGTAGCAACTTTCGTATAACGTACCTCCTATAATGTCGTTTCGCGACAAGATTGATAGAGTCTGGACCAATAGTGGATGAGCAGCCGAACTACTTTCCTCCGACCCTGCGCCACGCTACGGAGCGGCTAAATTGAGTTTGCTATCGTCTGTTTAGTATTATATATAAATTATATATAAATTAGGTACTGTACATATAATTATATATTAATTATATATAAATTAGGTACTGTATATATAATTATATATTAACTTAATTTATTGTAACTTTATTATAATTATATATATGCTTTCTGCCGCCTGGCAACACGCTACGGAGATTTTAGGCTAGTAAGTTGAGTTTATTATCGTCTGCACAGTATGTAAATTAGGTACCGTAAGTCTAATACAGCACTAATTTTATACATTTCTTGTGAAAGAAACACTTCTTATTCAACGTCCATAAAAATTATTTATATTAATGATGTCTCCAAAGG